AATCAATGCAGTCCCACGGCCCTCTGCGGCCCAAAGTTAAAAACTGTTGTTCTTTTGAGGCCCTCAAGGTGGCACTCGCTGTCTGGTCTATATAAAAAAGCACACAGCACCAGTGAAGAAGATCCAAGCTCCAATCAGCTCAGCTCAATGAAATGTTCATAAAAATCACTGGAATCACCAGAGGTCATGTTTCTGTTATGAACAGAAAATCCAACCTACAGGAGGTGAGGAAATCCTTTAGAATAAAGGTCTTGCTGGCCAGTGATCTAGCATTTACCAGAGTCAGTAAATTGAGCAATATTTATAAAAAACAATACAAATATCAGCAAGGTCCGGAGAGACAGGAAGGCCTAACATACTGGTGCTGCCAAGTCAATACATGAGTGTATAAAAGTCAGTGCYTGAAGTAAAGGTGCCATGTGTGCGCACAGTTTCATAAATCTGAARATTTTTGTGAATATGTACTTTTTGAACTTTGTATACAATCTTTCATGTGTGAAAGTTGTGCTCTCTTTCATACATGAGACCCCAGAAGAACACAAAGCAGTGGGTGGTTGTTGTGTTGGATGTTTACCATCTGCTGGATGCGGTGGAAGCTCTTGCCGTGGAAGCTGAAGGCCTGCTCAAACAGCACCTTGTCTTCCACAGTCCACTCATCTGGGAATGGTGTGAAATTGGGCAGGTCGGCAAGAGACTTTTCTATGTTGTGTTTGTGCCAAAACAGCATACCAAGAGCCTGGATACACAAACATACAGTGTTAACACAATGAGCAGATCATGCTGAATAGATAATTCCTCAGTAAAGTCAATGTCTCAATTTCTACTCTATTTCCTGTTGTCAAACAAACAAAATTACATGAAAGCCAGTGACCCCGGATTTACACTACATGCGTCGCCGCTCCGCTGCGCTGCGGTGCGCAGGTCTCAGCTGTTCGTTTGTGTCTCAATTTATACAGATTCTGGTCTGACAGAGTGTGCAGGAAGGAGATCGCACAATAAATCCAGTGATGTGGAAGTCAGAGCAAAAAATAATTAACTCTGTGAAAGACGAACTCCAAACACAGCTGAAAACAACGATATAAAATGCTTGTGGTATCTATGTTGAAACTGTCTCGCTGTCATCTTTCTGAAACTTCTGATTTCAAAATAAAACCCACGTGTATCGTGTGTGTACACATATGCTTCATGTTACGTTTCCATCTGCTTCCCAAACAGAACGATACATTCTGACAGCATTTGTGAAGAAATATATCCATATTTTTATTAATATAGCTGCAATTTCGACATTATTCCGACAAATTATCCAGCCTAATAGTGTCTTATTTTGAAAATACGGATGTTATGCTCGTTTCTTTTCCTGTTGGTGCAACGCAATCTTTAAAAATTGAGTCCGGCACTGCTCCGGCATCCGGCAAAAGTAGGATCAAATCTAATTTTGCCGGATTGCCGTCCGCTCACCGTTGCCGTGCACAGTCAGTGTAAATACACTCATTGATTATAATGGGTGCGTATTAGGGCTGCAACAACGAATCATAAAATCGATAAAAATCGATTATTAAAAGCGTTGGCAACGAGTTTCATTATCGATTTGTTGTGTCATGTGATTTATGCGTCCCTCGCCATGTTGCGGAGCCGTTTATGTCACCGCAGAGCGTTGTCAATGCTGGTTGACCTAAATAAAGTTTAGGAAGGAAAAAAACTCTACCTGTAGATCCGCCCTCTCTGAGACTTGAGTGAAAAGCAGAGACTTCAAACTTTAAACCAGTTTTTAAATTGTGTTGTTAGGCCAAGTAGGTGCGAAGATATGATAAAAAGTATACAGTATGCCTCAATTAATTTATTTTAAAAGACGTCTGATTTGATGCGCTGCGTCGCGAGGAGGAAACACGTCCCATGGCAAAAAAAATAAAAAGTACCTCAGTCGACCTCAGTCTAGGGCTGCTACGATTAATCGATTAATCGACGACTAATCGATTAATCAAAAAAATAATCGACAGATTAATCGATTATTAAAATAATCGTTAGTTGCAGCCCTAGTGCGTATTTGCTGTGGAGGTCGGAGCGGAGATGGAACGCATGTAGTGTAAATTAGGGGTAACAGTGAGGTCCAATCTTTTCCAAAAGTACTGGAACAAGTCAAATTCTCTGGTTTTTGTTGTTGACTGAAGACATTTAGGTTTAAGATTAAAAGATGATCATGAGACAAGTGTTCTGAGTGTCAGCTTTTATTTCCTGGTATTTATAAGTAAATGTGTTAAACAACATAGAATAAATCGCCATTTGTATTACACCACATTTTTAGGTGAGAAAAAGTATTTGAGCAAATAACCTTACAGTAAATAACACTTAATATTTGGTGGTATAACCCTTGTTTGCAGTGACTGCCTCCAGCCTGAGACCCATCAACACCAAACTGTTGATTCTTCATTTGTGAGGCTGTTCCAGGCTTTTACTGCAGCTTCTTTCAGTTCTTGTTTGTTTTGTTTCCTCTTCAGGAGGTGAAATGCTTCGTTGGGTTCAGGTCAGGTGACTGACTTGGTCAGTCTAAAACCTTCCACTTTTCCCCGGATGGAGTTCTTTGTTTTGTTGGCAGTGAGCTTTGTCTCATTGTCCTGCTGCAGTTTGGACACATTTCTCTGTAAATTATC